GGGGGGGGGGGGGGGGGGGGGGGGGGGGGGGGGGGGGGGGGGGGGGGGGGGGGGGGGTTCTTGTGGGAATGTCGTGGCCGCCCTCGGTTTGTTGTGTGCCGGATTCTGGCGTGTCTTCATTGCACACAGAAAACGTACCGTAGGCGACTGAAGGTGTCACGCGTCCGGAACCGATTTGCAGAGCTGGACTACTATGCTATTTTTGACGATGAAAAGGACGACTACTTCTATCCAAACGATGCGTGTTCGGGAAGCTCTCGACGGGACGGTTCCAACGCGATTTTCGGTACACGTTTTTCCCTCCACGCAAGCATGCTCCCTGTTCAACTCGTCGAGGTGAAGAGTTCTGCCACCTATGACCACTGTCGACACTCTCATTCGGCCGTTCGAGTTAATCGCCACAAAAACCGAGAGGACTACGGAAAGCACCACATGCCACACAAGGATGAAACGTCCAAAAGCCGCACACACCGGCCAGACTCCCCAGTCCTCCCGCGAAAATCGACCTCGCACGTGAGCGACGTCCTCGCGCTTTCCCCTCCCGCTCAGGCGTCCGTGTAGCACTTCTTGAAGAGCTGGTTGCGGTTGGTTATCCTGCCGGCCATGACAGCCTCCACGTCTTCCACGGTCCGAGCGCAATTGGTGAGATTCCTGACACCGTCCGCAGTAACAACCACGTCGTCCTCCAACCTCACACCCCCGAAGCCACGGAATCGCGCGAGCTCGCTTTTCACCAGGAACGGCGCCACCTTGTTGGAACACGGTAGAGGTGATGAGGGTAGCGGGAGATGTTTGTTTATTCCGGAAGTTGTTCTTCGACAAATGCACTCGTGCCGCCCGAAAACGAAGGTCACTGGCATCAAAGGGGGCAATGCTGTGCTTGATAGAACAGAAGCGACAACGAGACGTACGCGACCGTGAAGCTGAGAGGGCATATAGGTCATAGTCCGTGTTCAAGCCTTTAGCCGTGAGGGTTGATAAATATTGTTTTGCCTGTCGGCTTACCCACAAAAACAACCAAGCAAAGCTCGAGTATAGATGTACGACCAAAACGAATTTCTGCATCTCATCTTCACCCCCGTCACCCGTTTTCCATCTTCGGTCCCCTTCCAGCGACCGTGGCGTGCCCGCTGGCACGGTATTATTTGCATTGGTCAGGCGGGTAGTGCAGTCGATGCTGACAAACAGAAACAGCCCCACTCACTGTAAAGACTCCAACACCCCCCTCTGACTGTGGTCATACCTCCAACGAGTAGTCTCTGTGATTGTATTTTGCTGTTGTTATTTTTGTTGTTATTTTTGTTGTTATTGTTGTCTTAACATGGAAAGCCGTTCCGGCCTCCTCTCAGAACTTCTAAACTGTAATCCGTACTGGTCCAACTGACTCGGACGCCATACTTTCCAAAGCAGACGCATAATCGACTCAACACACACTTGCCTCGGGGTCCTTTAGGGCCTTGTCCAGCAGGTGGTCGATGAAGTAAATCCCCGGCTCCACCGTGATCGCCATCCCGTCGGCGAGGTCCCTCCCGCAGCGGAGGCTCGAGTGCCCCGGCCGGGGGTCCCGCGCGCGCCCACCCTCGGGGTACCCCCCCACGTCGTGCGTGTCGAGGCCGATCAGGTGGCCGAGGCCGTGGGGCATGAAGACGGCGCCGACGTTTGCCGCCATCATGTCGTCCACGGAGCCGGTCAGCAGGCCAGCGTCCTTGAGCCGCTCGCAGGCGACTCGGTAGGAGAGCTCGTGCAGCGAGGGCCACGACACGCCTGGGGGGAGAGGGGGGGGGGGGGGGGG